AATGGTGAGGAATCAGCCCAGAACTACACAGGAGGATCTTGTCAGTGATCCCAAGGCAGCTGGGACCATAGTCACCAAGAAAACAATTGGTAACGCGCTACGCCATGAAGGACTGAAATCCTGCAGTGCCCGCAAGGTCCCCCTGCTCAAGAAAGCACTTGTACAGGCCCGTCTGAAGTTTGCCAATGAACATCTGAATGATTCAGAGGAGAACTGGGTGAAAGTGTTGTGGTCAGATGAGACCAAAATCGAGCTCTTTGGCATCAACGCAACTCGCTGTGTTTGGAGGAGGAGGAATGCTGCCTATGACCCATCTTGAGTGAGAACCTCCTTCCCTCAGCCAGGGCATTGAAAATGGGTCGTGGATGGGTATTCCAGCATGACAATGACCCAAAACACACGGCCAAGGCAACAAAGGAGTGGCTCAAGAAGAAGTACATTAAGGTCCTGGAGTGGCCTAGCCAGTCTACAGACCTCAATCCTATAGAAAATCTGTGGAGGGAGCTGAATGTTCGAGTTGCCAAACGAAAACCTCGAAACCTTAATGAGTTGGAGAGGATCTGCAAAGAGGAGTGGGACAAACTCCCTCCTGAGATGTGTGCAAACCTGGTGGCCAACTACAAGAAACGTCTGACCTCTGTGCTTGCCAACAAGGGTTTTGCCACCAAGTACTAAGTCATGTTTTGCAAAGGGGTCAAATACTTATTTCACTCATTAAAATGCAAATCAATGTATAACTTTTTTTGAAATGCGGTTTTCTGGATTTTTTTGTTGTTATTCTGTCTCTCACTGTTCAAATAAACCTACCACTAAAATTATAGACTGATCATTTCTTTGTCAGTGGGCAAACGTACAAAATCAGCAGGGGTTCAAATAATTTTTTTCCCTCACTGTATGCAAGATATTCAATATAAAAAAATATAATACTTTTAGTATGACCCAAGGGCATTGGTATTCTATTAAAGTTTTGATTGGATTGAATTGAATTGAATTTGATTTAATTTAAATGTAATTTCATTATTTGTTTTCACACACAGGCCACCTCAAATCTCAAGCACTTACCACCACAGAACCGTCTATTCCCTCTCATGGGGCCCTCCTGTGCCGCCCATGTCTTTTGGTAAGTTAATTCATAAAACGCACACATAACCACATAGGCCAGTAAACACTGAACTTAGAGTGGCACCAAGAACAATCCATCAGAAATAAGTGATGCCCAGCTCCTCTTTTTAACGCTTACTTTCGCTCTGTCGAGTTTGTTGGATAATCAAGGAATGAAAACTTAATTTCACCTCACCGCTGAGAAATCACACATTCATCATTATATCCATCTCTGATGCTCAAGGGGGTGGAGATAATTGCTTTTATTTGTTCAGAGGGGTATGAACAATAATAATATTGATGTTGTGGCTAATAATTATGTGTGTGTGGCTCAGGGGGATCAGGAGACAAGCCGTCCTACAGCTTATACAGCTGTGCTGGAGAGGGGGTCATCTTCCAGCACGACCCATGGAAACTCTCAGGGGAGGCCAGTAACATTGACAAACTCATCCGAGACACCAACAACATCAAAGTAAGATGAGAAATCATTTGTTCATATTTGTCGTTATGTATATTTATCCAAATAAAATATTATTCTGTTATTCAGCACAAGATCCCCCCCCACACAGACCTCAGCTGGAAGCCGGATGGCAGTGTTTTGGCCATTGGAAATGAAGATGGGTAACAATGTTGATCAAAACTATTTCCTCTTCCTCAAGTAAAAAGTTGTTTAATTGTATTGATCAATCTCTAAATCATTTAATAATCTAGATCAGTGGTAATTTAGATCAGACCACATTCCTGGAAACCCCCCCCCAGCACTGCACAATGTATAATTTATAAAACGAGAGAAAATTTATGTTAATTTATAAAACATGAGATGTTATGAATATAGTGGTATACACTAATGTTTGGGGTCAGATTTATTCATTTATTTATTTACTTATTTTGTTTGTTAATATAATGTTTCTCCACATGGCTTTGGTTACATGAAAAGAAAAATCATTTTAGGGGTGGAGAAATGCAATATTATGAATGCAACCATTTGTTTTTCTTTAGATGAATAGCACAGATGAATCATGCACAATTTGATTTCATGTTGTCTTTAAATATGAAATGTATCTTATGCAATAATTTAGAATATTATGTATCAAAGAAAGTTTGTCTCACTCTATAAGGGTTTTTGTTTTAGGTCTATAGAGGTATTAAAGGCTCCCATGCTGAAGCTCTTGTGCACAGTGCAGCAGCATCATAAGATAATTAATTCACTGCGCTGGCACCATGAACACTCGTCTCAGAATGAGCTGCAATATCTGCTGGCGTCCGGGTCCACTAATGCCATAGTCTATGTCCATGACCTAAAGAGCGCCATAGGTGAGAATCGGCTCTTCATCCTTGTTTGATTGTTTTTGTATCTATCCTTGTTGGCTATTCAATGCATACAGAAAATTCACATAGTACATAAGTATACATACCAGTGCACAGAACATAATATACTACTACGGGTATAGTAAGAATAGTATGATAGTATGGTATTCCGAGCATAGCCAGTGAATGTGCATGTTTTTCTCATTGGGCTTTTTCTGTTACAGAAACTCCATCAGAGATTCCAGTGCTGATGACTGAATCTTTCAGAACTCTCTCTGGTCACACCAACAAAATCACCAGCCTAGCCTGGAGCCCCCATCACGATGGCCGTCTGGTGACAGTGTGTTATGATGGAACTGCTCAGGCAAGTTACACTTTTTTGCTAAAAGTGATCAAAAAATAAAGAACAACTTATTTCCCAGTAATATAATGGAAATTAAGGTTATTTTATCTGGACATTTCATGAAAATATAATGAATAATATTGTGTTTTGGATTATCCAGTTTTAAGTTTGATTAGTGTGGCTTGTCCTAATAAACTAATAATTTTTAATGATTTTCACAGGTGTGGGATGTGCTGAAAGAAGAGCCGGTATGTAACTACAGGGGTCATTCAGGCCATTAACCCCCAAGGTTCGTTTTGACCTTTTTTTTTCTTTAGTGCAACACAAAAGAAAGTTTTATGTAATTTTAAAATTGTAATTATTTGGGTCAGGGATGTGGTACAGTGGTTAAGTGCTCATATGGGAGCCACAGGTTCGAGTCTGGCCTGTGCCATTTCCCAGTAATTGCGCTGTTTCACCTTAAAAGAGCCAAAACTTCTAAAATGAATAAATATAAAATTATATACTTATAAGATATATAAATAACTTTAATCATTAACTATACGCATACCTTTATTGTTTATCAACAGGTAAGAAACGTGTTGAGATGGAGAAAAAGAGAGGACCTCAGAAAAAGTCCAAGAAGAAAAAGGCGGCACCAGAAAAACGAGGGATGAAGGCGGAAGAAAGGGAATTGCCTTTAGGTGAAGAAATTAAAGGAGCAGCAGGCAGTGGAGCAGAAGAGGGCCAATCAGAAAATGACAAGGAGGAAGAGGAGAGGGAGAACACAGACGGTCCATCCGTCACAGGTAACGGCCCGTCTTTCTTGCTTTCATCTCTCGCGGTCTCTTCCGCTTCCTCTCGCTTTTGTGCTTCCAGCGCAGTCTTTGAAATGTCACTCCGGTTGTCTGGGTGTGATGAATAACCTTTATCATTTGGGTCACAGGCTGGTACAGAGAGATCAGTGTGGACACACGTGGCATTGAGAGGGTTCAGAATGGAGAAAGGTTCAGTCATGCAGTTAAAAGGGAGGTCAAAGAGGAGAAGAAAAGAGAGAAATCAGGTCAGTTTCTGCTCTGTCTGTGTGTAGTCAATATATTTTTCTTATTACCGCAACTTACTCTTGCTTTTTTTTTTAAACATGTATCATGCAAAAAAATAAATAAATAAAATGGATAGTTCAGATTCTGAATTGATTGTAAAATGCAGCTAAATAAATGCATTTATGACCGCACATTACATAATGATTGCAACTTGTTGATGCATTGCTTGGCAACTGTAATGGCCGGTTATTATTATAATTATTATCGTATTGAACAATTAGTATTATTGTTATTAACAACAATATTAGTTAATTATTAATTTAATATTCATTCGTTAATTTAATACTTAATCAATTTAAATAAGTAAATTAAACCGGTGAAAAAATAAATAAATAACCTACGGTGTTATGTGACATTGACATCAAACCTGTTTTAAGAAATCAAAAACATTGGAAAGGCTGTTATGGTATTTTGTTTACATAATTTTGTTTATTTTAGATCTGTCTTTAAAAAAGAGAAAGCCACGCTCCATTCTCCCGCTGAGTACTTCTATGGATCACCGACCCAAAGAGGAACTTCAACAGGACTGTCTGACACTGGCAGCTGTAAGATACTCACATGGTAAGTCAGGAGCCCAACATCAGTCTTAAGAACATGTATATAAAACATTAACCCATCTTTTGAATATAAGCATATTCTAAGTTTTTATTAAATTGAAATTAGTAAATCTCTGAAATGTTTACTGTGGTATAATACTGCAGTTGTAATGGTGAGACATTTTCTGTCTCAGAAAAGGCTTGTTCTTCTGTGACAAGGCAGTTTATAGGTTAATCAAATGTGATTTATGAAATTTCAGAAATATCATTACCAAAAAAATTTAAAATGTTGTTTTGGCCTTGTGCCATAGCAGTACCATGGTATTCTATGATTTTCCATAGACTGTCATTTTTGACTTGTCTTTTTTTTCTTCATCTTCTCTTTTAAATGTAAAGTCTCTTATGCTTTCCAATCTCCATTTCTTGTAAGGTGCAATATTGTAAAATATTATTACAATTTAAAATAACTTTTTCTATTTTAAAATGTAATTTGTTGCTGTGATGACAGCAGCCATTACAAAAAAGCAAAACTTTGATGAATAGAAACTTTAAAAAAAAAAAGCATTTTTTAAAAATAGAATCTTTTGTAACATTTTTTATGTCTTTACTGTCACTTTTGATCAGTTTAATGCGTCCTTGCTGTATATAAAAGTATTTATTTCCTTCAAAAAAATCTTACTGACACCAAACATTTGAACTGTGGTATAAATGGTCAATATGAAAATCATTAATTTCTATATATCAAATTACCATAGTAATACTATCAGATATCGTAGTACTGGCCCAGCACTTTTTATAAGAAATATTTGCTTGTCTTCTCATGTAGAGCTCAGTTTGAACTGCTGCAGTGTCAAAATGAGAGGAAACAAGTAGTTACAATGCATAGTGCATTTCCTTTCCCTTCTGCTCCTCAGGGCAAAGCGGAACATGTGTTACAGGATCTGGAGATCATATTCAGCTTGGCCTGTTCACAGACAGGGATGCCCTCTACAGGATGTTTCAGGAGGAAGGTGAGTCGGGCACAGAAAGAGCTGAACCCAGTGTAGGGTAGTGTCAATATCTGAGGTGAATCATGGAGTCACTGATTTGGAATCAGTATTAAGTTCATGCTGATGTTTTGAACAGAGGAGAGCCACGTGGAGGCTGGTCATTATGACTCAATGGTGTATCTGAGGCTGTGGAAAGGAGATCTGATTGGAGCAATAAATCTTGCTGCGGAGAAAGGAGAACTGACTGACCATCTCCTCAGTTTAGCTCCAATGGGTAAGATGTCTGGCAGTATTATGGCTGCTGAACAAAGTTTTACTTTATCTGTAAGCGAAAAAAGTAACAATAAAAATAATTATTATTCATATGTATTTTTAAATGAATGGGAAATGTTTGGGTTATTCAAAATTGTAAAAATGACATGCAGACAATGTTGTGGGGTAAAAAATATTAAAAGTCAAAAATGTCTAGGGAGTGTAACTGTTAA